ATAATTAGTAGCGACAGCTGATTTCTGTTTAGATTCGCGTGGCATTGCGGGTGGTCGCTGAAATTAGTGCCAAAGATTTTGGATTGTGCCGAATGGGGTATTGTTTACTCTTTCATTAAAAAAGAGGGGTTCCGTGAGTTTAATGACACAGTAACGCAGCTGGGTGATTAATTCGAGCAACCTGCTTTTGATTTAAATTGTTTTAAATTAAATACTTATAAAAGCCAACTGTTGTCAATTCAGAGATAATGAAGCATTGCATTTGATAATCACAGCATGCTTGAAAAGCTGCGATTGTTTGATTTGGTAACACTTAAAAATGTACTTTTCTCCGAACCTTTCTGATGTTTCTTAGGATTAATTAATTAATTTATCTTTATTAGGGAGGCTTTCAGCCTGGGGCTGGTTCGCCTTCAATGTTTCTTAGGATCTTTTCTGAAGTTCGCTTAAAACTTCTCCGATGTATCCTAGGAACTTCTCTGAAACTGTCTAGGAGATTATTTGAAGCTCTCTCTGAACTTGTTTGTAGTTCCCTATGGAACTTCTCAGAAGTTCCCTCGGAAAATACCCTTAAGTTTTCTCGGAACTTCCCAGATCTTCCAAATTCTTCCTATTAAGTTCTCCCAGAACTTCCGTAAAGCTTTCGGAAAATACCCTAAGCTCTCTCAGTACTACAAGAAAAATCCACAGAAGTTTCCCCAAAACGATCCAAGACATCCCTGATCCTACTCGAATTTGGGTAATTATGAAATATCGTGTAGGATTCTATAAAATAACAGTGTAAGATAGAAAACTTGTTTTCCAAAAGCTCCCGAGAAATGCTCCAGAAATGCCCTTGTAACTTTCCAAAAAATCTCCAAGCTTTCCAATGGATATTTTCAACAGAATTATTCTGGAAATTCCCTTAAGGCTTGCATGAAGTTTCCTGTTATTTTCTCTGATCCTACGATATTGCAATATCTCTTGCGATAAATACTGGTAAATACTCATCGTTTAGGCGTATTGTGTATGCTACGAAGGGAGAGTTTGGTTTCCATTCCAGAAATTTTCCCAAAATAAAATTTCCCTACTGGTCTACGTTGTCTAGTGTAAAGAGTTCAGTCTGTGTTGAATACGGTGTCAGTTGTCTTTTCAAAATCAAAGAGATTCCGCGTTAGGTTGCTGAACTTGCTTAATGAGCTTAAAGCTGAAGAAGTTCACGGAACCTGGTAGGAATTCATGGAACTAGAAAGTTCTGAAAAGTTCTCAAAAATTGAGAGAAGTTAACAGAACCCGAAAGAAGTTAACGAAACTTGCGAAAAGTTCACAGAATTTGAATAAAGTTCACGTTGACAGAGTTGCGATAAAATTCATGGAACATGGAAAATATTCACGGAACATGGGATAATGTCACGGAGTTTCGGTAAAGTTCACGGATCTGGAGAAAAGTTCACGGAAATTGCTAGAAGTTCACGGAATTTACCAAGGTTCCGCAAGTTTCCTTGGTACTTCCAAAATTACGGAATTTGATAGAAGTTCACGGAAGTTGGTAGAAATTCGTGGAACTAAGGAAAAAGTTCACGGAACGTAGAAGAAATTCACGGAGTTGCAGTAAATTTTATGAACCTTGGAAAAAAATCGCTTTTTAAAAGTTTCCTTGGAACATCAAACAAGTTTCCTTAGATGTGATGTGATGTGATGTGAATAGAACCCACCATCAGTGCAAGGATTACCTATGACTGCAGATACTTAACTGGTTGTAAAGTTCTGCATGATGGTTTGTTGCAGCAGGGTGAATCAACTTCAGTGAAGACCTTTGGAAGACAAACGACAAGATGTACGTCTATCAACACGTGACAAAGGACTGGCAAATCCACGAACCCTTGTCCAGTCTACAAATCCTTTGAAACCCTTAGGCTGCCCCCCCAAACCCAGCATATAATAATGTTTGATTAATGAAATGTATTCAAAAAAGAAATATTTAGAGAGAACAATCTTCAACTGGAACGTACTCACCAAATCAATATATCCGGGAGCGCATTCTCGATGCTTGATTTTCTCTAGTCATTTTTAAACAATTCCTCCTCCAGCGAATCCAACCACACAATAACTAAATATATCAAACAAGTTTCCTTAGAACTCCCAAAAACTTCCTTATGAACATCACACAAGTTCCCTTGGAACTTCCCACAAGCTCATTTGGACCTTCCCCCAAGTGCCGTTGGTACTTCTGACAATTTCCCTTGGAATTTCTCACAAGTTTTCTTGGTACTTCCGAAATAACCGAATTTGAGAGAAGTTAATGGAAGTTGGGAGAAATTCGAAATTGGAACTTCCAACATGATCCCTAAGAACTTTCCTTAAGTTCCTTTGGAAGAGATGTTTATGAAAGTTTAGAGAAATTCGTGGAACATAGAAAAAGTTCACACAACGTTCACGGAATTGCAGTAAAGCTCATGAACCCCGGAAAACAATCACGCCTGAAGTTCATGAAACTTCCCAAAAGTTTCCTTGAAACTTCAAACAAGTTTCCTTAGAACTTCCAACATGTTCCCTAAGAACTTCCCAGAAGTTTCATTAAATCTTCCCACAAGGTCCTTTGGAACTTCCAACAAGTTCCCCAAGAACTTCCCACAAGTTCCCTTGGAACTTCGCACAAGTTCCCTTGGATCTTCTTACAAGCTCCTTTGGAACTTCCCACAAGTGTCGTTGGTACTAATGACAATTTCCCTTGGAAGTTCCCACTAGTTTCCTTGATACTTCCGAAATAACGAAATTTGATAAAAGTTTATGAAACCTTGGAAAAGTTCACAGAACGTAGAAGGAGTTTACGGATTTGCAGTAATGTTCATAAACCACGGAAAAAAAATCACGTTTAAAGTTCATGAACCTTCCCAAAAGTTTCTTTGGAACGTCAAACATGTTTTCTTAGATCTTCCAACAAGTTCCCTAAGAACTTCCCACAAGTTCCATTGAATCTTCTCAAAAGCTGCTTTGGAACTTCCAACAAGTTTCCTTGTTGCTGTTCATCCTCACAAAATAAATTTGAACTGAAAGCAACTTTTGCTCGGAGCAGTTCACACTCAGAAGCAAAATAGCCTCCCGAAACAGAGTTTTAGCATAGAGGTAACTCTAAGACCAGAAGGTCCCGAAGAAACGAGCTCAACTTTTTGGCTCAGCCCTGGTACTATCTTCGGTCCCAAGTTAATCGATTCACCCCTCGAAACATAGGAAAATCCACTAACCCCTAATCTTATCTGTCAAACTTTCATAGCGAATGAAAACAAACATAGTGTAGTACTGGAATTTATACTAGAATGGGGTACGTTACTCTATTTGCTTGGGACCAATAGGCTAGTCAAGTAGTGAGCCAATTTAAAATCGTTAGTTTCGTATTGATTGTTGGTTTTAGTGGGTCGCCAAAGTTGAAACTTAACCACTTTTAATTTCTATTCGTTCTTAATTTCCATTCCCATTTAGATACATAGTTGCTAGATGGGAATCGGAAATAGAGATTAGTCAAAACTGAACCTACCCAGAAATGGGTAAACTAAGCTGGGAGTGACAAGTTGACAAATGAACAACATCGATGAGCTTCTGGTTGAAGTTGTCAGGTTGTCACTCCCAACTGAGTGGATCCTACTCAAATTTGGTTAGATGTGAAATAGCGGGGGATATTCCGAGAGTCGAAGTAACTTTTCTCACTAGTGACGTGAGAAAAGTCACGTAGTGGTGAGGGGACTCTCTGCGAAAATCAAATGGAGAGTCATGTCACCACGACGTGACTTTTCTCACTTCACTAGTGGCAAAAGTAACTTCGACTCTCAGAATAAGCTCCAGCGTGTAGAATCCTATAAAATAACAGTTTAAGATATGAAACTTGTTAAACTAAACGATCGCTAAGGCTGTGAACCAATTCCCGAGTTAAATTTAACTAGTGGTTAAAAGTGACATTTCGAAAGTTGTTTTAGATAATCGAAAATCCCTGTTTTATCGATCGACTGGTTTTCGAACCGAACTCAGCCACCGTTGTAAAAATCTAGCTTCTTGTCTGTCAGAAATAACAACGCTCGAATAGCAAGGTTCAATCGATAGATTTCCATCTGTCATTTTAAACCTAGAGTTAAATTCCAGTTGTCAATTAGTTCACAGCCAAAGTAATGACCTTTACCTGAAAAGTTTTTTAACTGAAAGTCTGTAAATGAAATAATTTTCAACAAACGAACACTTTCTGTCAAAATAGTGCAAAAGCAAAATGTCAATACAAATCAGCTGCTCATCATTTTAAATGCCCTTAGCAACTGGTTTGACACACACACACACGACTCAAAAGAGTTGATTCAACAAATCCCTGATCTGACAAAGGGCAGAAAAAGTTGAACATTTACCAACTTTCTGTTCCTTCAATTCACCGAAATTTATCGTCTAAACCGAGCTTTAGCGAACGTTGAAAGAAACTGCGAGTAGGAAGCTTCTTGGGTGATAAATAATTATTTACTTACCATTTCCGATAATCCGATCCGAAATCGTATGAAAAGCCATCCAAATCACTCCTCCAGGAAGAGCAACTAAACTAAACGTAAACAGAAGTCGGTAGCCCATGGCAACCCATGCAGCGCACGCATGGTTTGACAGCCACCCCTACACGCTAAACCGAAACATCGCGATAACGGTTCAGACCCTTATTACGGGTGTCACTTCACGGTGGCAAATCCAAACTCGGTCCACTTCCATCATAGGCGAGAAATGCTGCGCTGCGCAATGCAACGAATCTACAGCCGGCACAAAGCGAGATGGAAAATCAGTTAATAGGCCAGTCTGTTAAATTACAATTATTAAATGCCAATAGCACATTCCACCTTGTGTTGTGCCTCCTCCAATTTGCCTCAAAACAAGCGCAACAGAGCATTATGTAACGCTGAAGGCCGCCCATCGAGAGAGACAGACACAGTCAGTAGTGAAGCAAAACAAGACAGAAAGTGATAAATCGGAAAAACCCCACTTTTCAAATTTATCAGATGCAATGTTCAAATAACCTTTAATGACTGTGCTAGTGGGAAACAATCGAATGTAATCGGACTTTCTTCTGTTACTTCTTTTTACCTCCCTTCTTGGCACCACCGGCGGCTGCCGCCTTCTTCTTCGGCTGCTTGATCTCCTCAGCGGGCTTCTGCAAATCTTCAAACTCGGCTTCGATCACCTGAACGCCACGAGTTTCCTTCGGTCGCCGTTCGTACATTGGTCCCTTGGGGGTCCTCAGTTCCAGTTCGATCTGATTGCCGCCATCCGCGGCGCGAGTTGTTTTATTTTTGCCCAACTTGAGGACAAATACGTCAACATTTGGATCGTGCCATCCCTTCTTGCAGATTTCGATGCCACACGGGTGAATCGAATGGGGTTCCGCTTCCGGATTGCGCGTTTGCATGCAAACCGAACGCGTTGGATCCGTTCGTTTGCGGTAGTCTTCGGCACAGATCGGTCGCTTCTGCTTGCACATCAGAAAGTCGGCAGACCACTGCTGAGCCGGGTACTTGAGGTTACCTCGGATCACCGGCAGGTGGCAAGCGTTCTGCTCTCGTTGGACGTCGCGTTCCTCCAGGGCGTAGACGCCTTCCGGCAGCTTGAGCGAGGTCTGGCGGAAGACATTCGAGAATTTAAGGTTAAGAATTTTATCACAATTGGACAGAACTTACCCAGCATCCTTTGGTGCAGTTATCATCCTGATCGTTATCTAGCATGACCTTAAGCTCCGAGTTCTTCTCGATTCGAATGGCAATGGCATTGCCGTTCAATTCGGCCGTATACTCGTCGTAAGGCGAGCAAATTTCCTCCTTGCTGGTCACGGATGCTGGCGGGGTCGGAGGAAGCGACGCCACATTTGCCTCTGGCTCACATTCTCCGCAGAGTACGGGATGCGGATGAGCCACCTCATCGAACACCACACATTTCATAAAATGCTCACGATCTTCCTGATCAGTCGTTTTGAAGCAGGTAACACCTGGCTGATCGTCTTTTGCGCCAAGCTTAATCTTCTGAGTGATCCTCTCCCCAAGACAGGAGATTCTGAATGTCACGATGACGCATCCTCGGACAATTTCGCTGTCGTTGCGCAGTGGATACAGAGACCGGAACGTCTCCGATACGGGGACGTTCTTCTTCGAGATTGAATCCACCGAAAGGGCCGTTCCGATTGAAGCTTCAGATCCCCGCCTTCCGTTGATGTCATCGTAGTTCTTCGCCAGGTTGCGAAGAATTTCGCTGGCCGATTCGTCCCATTTGCCGAGGACTTTCTTCCGACCGTCGGTTTGCTTTTCCAGAGCGGAGATCTCATAGTTTAACTCATTCTCCCGGTAGTGATCTTCATTCAGTGTGAACATACAGTTTTCACCTAGTTTTGAGCTGTTCTCGTCGAGCTGGGATCCGAAATCCTTCTCGCAGACCTCGCAGCGAGCGAAATTACCGAGCTGAAAGCGAATGCAACGTTCCGGACAGGATTCCGGTTCGCTGTTTTCAGGAACCGTTTCTTCCGGGTCGCTTGTGCGTTCGACCGAAAACATTTGCAATTCCTCCACGATCAGTTCCACCATGAAGATTCGATTCGGGGCCATTTTGTAGGTTTTTTTGGAAACAGGGTCAATTTGGAATTTCGAATTGCAAAATTTTGCCCGAAATGAGAATTTGGACTTGATGGGGTCACAACATTTGACGGAATGAAATTAGAGCCTACTCTTCTTATGAAACTGTCCACTAACGATCTTCGCTTTATTTCCTTTCATTTCAGGTATGAATTGAGCAACTTTCAATTACAATAGACGATCAAGTAAGTTCTGTGAAATCCGACCATCGTCGGACCTCAAGGTCGCTGGAAACTCTCACTCGAGCACAACCGTTCTGCTAGCCGATGGAGAGGCCACTTTCGAATTCGTACTTCATCAAATCTGAAGCGTCGTTCATCAAAATGATGCAACTTCATTGAAGGCCTCTCGTCTCGAAAAAAACAAAATAAAAACATCCAAATAAATCAAACTCATCTCGAGCTCGATGAGATCGCTCCCTAATTAGACCCTACAACCGTGCGCCACTTCGACAAATCATCCGCACAATTCGTCTGGTTTGGAAAGTTAGTTGCACCAATCCCATTGTAGGCCATTAGTGGAGGTTGCTCGCATTCCCTTCAATGTTGATTGGTTTACGTAAGATCACGACCCTCTGTCGAAAAAGCCCAAGCTGCATGAGGAGAGCAATTACGCATCCAACAAAAGCAGATCCCGCCACCCGATAAAACAACGACGTATGATGAATTGGAAGGTTTCCATCTCCCATGCGTTAACTGAATTAATTTATTCGTCGGTTGAGTCACCACTCCGGGAGACTCCTGCCCCACCATGGGGCATGCGGCATGGGAGTTTCTCAACCAGATCAATCAGAAATTATGCGCCGTCCCACCACGGTAGTCGTGGTCGATTGAAAATTAAGTCCCAATTAGCATGCGCTCGATCGATGGCCTGAACCCATCAGTTGGCAGCTGTCAGTGTGCAATGCAAGAATGTATAAGGTGGGAGTATGCCAAGTGACCAAGCCTACAATTATGCCATTTATGGATAGCAGGTAGAGGGTTCAGGCGAGTGGGTGTCCACCCCCCCTAGGGTGGCTACTGAGCTGTGTTTTTGTATGCAGAAATGAATAGTGGAGAAATGGAGGTGCATTTAGTTCAGTGTGCTAGTGGGGTAGTCTGTTATTGGAATGCGATTTCATAAATGGCATAAAAGTGCGGATAATGCAACAATGTTTCGAATCGATTTGCGGCCAGAAACTGTACAAGCCAGAAGTGTCCCATTACGTAGGATCGGACGTGATTTGAAAAGGTTTAGCAGGGAATTCGTGTGAAGGGTCCCCAGGACATTCCGGAATTGACTCTCAACTTTTAGGACTTCTGAGATTTTCAGAAAAGTACAGTGAACTTCGGGAAAGTCCAGGGAATTTTAGGGATGTCCAGATAACTTCGAAGAAGTCCAGAGAAATTCTCGAAAGTTTAGAGATGTTTAGGGAAGTTACATGAACTTCAAAGCAGTTGCGAGATATTCAGGGCTGGTTTTCCGAGTGGTGAAATCTAAAAAAATCGGGAAGCGTGATTTTCGGTAAAAATCCCGGGAATGGGATAGGAAACATTAATTTAACAAATCTTGGACTCAATACGCACAACTTTGCGGCAACTATAATGATCCTTCCAAACTGTGACGAAGTAAATTTTTATATTTTACAATATTGGGTTTTCACTACTGGCAGACGCATGAGAACATGACAATCACCATCGCCTTCTATCGACATCCCAATAATTAATACAAATGTCAGATGGCGATAAATTACGACTCCCCCCTCCCCGCAGTAACTTTACCGCTAATGAGTTGGCATTCTTGGGCAAAATCCGAGCAAACCGATCCAGCGCCGAGGCAGATGCAAGCCAAAGGTGCTACTCGTGACGTACTCGTGAAGCGAAGCGCTAATTAGGACCTCCACCACACAGCAAGCGGTGCGATAGCCTATGAGCGACAGCGAACGAACGCGAAAGCTTTACGCCGAAAATGACAATCAGTTGTGGATGTCAATTCCAAAATAAGATCGATCAAACCGAACGATCTGAACTTGGCCTTTGAACCCTTTGATCACTTTGCTGATTGGGAGTGGTCCTTCGGTTCGTTTTAAAATACTTTCAAAATTTGAAGGGTTATGTAACCCACCATTTTATGAATGTCAGTTTCCCTTAATTCTCATAGGCTGCTTTGTGTGATCTGTCTCGAAGATTTTGATTGATAGCGATTGTAATCCAACCGAAAAAGATCTAAGATCGTTGTTGACTGTCGCTCCAAGGATTGTATGGCATTTGTTAGAAGTTGGAAGTTAGATCCATAATTTGTCAACAGTTTCAAATTCATAAATGTTGACGTATTTTTGAGGAATATTTACGATCGGTAAAACCCACACAAATCGCACAGCGAAAAACCAACCGAAATGACTAAACCTGTTTGCCAACGCAAATTGAAACGTTCGCTAATCGATTCCGAAAACGGATACCTGCAATTATGGATTATTACACCAAACACCACGGCCCAATCTGGTTGCTAAGCTACTCATTTCGAACCGGTTTACTGGATGCATGCTGCTGCATACTACTAGCCGATCAAAACCAATTAATTGAGGAGTAAACACTTCAGAAAAAGGGTTCTTTGTTTTGAAGCTTACGTGGAAAATTGTAGGTTAGGTATACAACTAACGCCAAACTGCAATTACCGTTGCTCCCTTCGGTGGACTGTAGGAGATTCGATGCGTTCTAAGGATGCTCTAGTTCGGGCAACCGGTTACTCAACCACGCGCTGACCACGATTCGATCCCGAGTTCAAACCTGAGTTGGATTATGGCCTGTTAAAGCAAACGATTCATGAGGTGTAAACTAACGGTTTCAAATCAATAACTCTGCAATTTGCATCGTAAAAACTATCAACTTGTTTGAGCTTTTGTCATGTTTTTTTTATTTCATGAAAGCTGTAAATGTTTATAACTCCGAGCCTGATCGATTTAACGTGCTTTTTATGGCCATCAATAAGGATCGAAAGAGAGTGCTAATTGCTCAGCTGTTATGTCATCCAGCACTGGACGAAGAGAGTAGAGCGCATAAATCTCGAGCATCCTGTACAAATTAACTGGGAGTAGTTAAGACAGCGACAAAGTTGTATCCACACTGCTCATTTACACAACTACGGGATTTGAACAAGAGTGTGCTTGAGGAAAATGTAAAACTAGTTGAAATTGCAAGACAACTGCTAAAACCTCGAGTCGAAAGTTGTTGCTGAGCAACTTCAATAGTAGGCTGCATAGTAAAAAGCATCATATTCTTTGCAGTAGACGGTTACAAGGATAGATTTAACGTCACTTGTTTGTCAGTTGTCAATAATAACATCAAGATGCCTCGCTGAATTCAATTTGGTTAAAACCTAGGAGTGAGACACAGATAGCCCACACGGCATTCATTTTATAGCTTTTCCTTATGTCATGAAAGGTTGAGCTATTGAAATCAAATCAAAATAGGCGTAGCAATAGTGCCTGTTTTACTTTGAGCGTGTAGTGCTTGTTTGACGTTGTTCAGTGTGCAGTGAGCAAATGTCCTTTTCTGTTTTGAATTTTATCATGCAACCAAAGATTTTGGCAAAAACCTTGGTTAATGGTAATTTTCCAATATGGATTTAAGTATACAGAGGAACTGGATATAATGACGGCCTAAATGCCTTTAATTTGGGCCCATACATAAATTCAGCAATCGACTAAATTTTCAATAGTGACCAAAAATATCCATTTGTATCGTCGCAATTGGTCTTAGATCCCTAGGCCAACATTAGAGCCATTTCCTCCGTATGGCATATTCAATGAATGAATCTATAAAACGGTGTCCAATTGAATAAGATAGCTAGAAACGACAGTTTGTCAGAAATTACTTTACGCAAGATTTCAATACCGCCTTCTGTATTCTTGATCAATTGTAAGAAAAGCATCATCAAACTGCTTGGCTCCCAATGAAAGTACTTGACAGTTTGTGTCTATAGTCGCTATATTCATAGTCTGGCGGATAGAATCTCGGGAACCGATTGAGCTGTCAAATAGCGGAACCAATCGAGCAAATCACGACCAACAACATAAAAGAGCACATTAGCTATTGCGAACAAAACTTCGCAAACCCTTTTCTCGTGACTCAAGGCTCGCCAACGCAAACTGACACCATCTTTGGGTTGGGAAAAGTTTCCCCTATCCGATGATGCCGGTAATTTGTGGATGATTGGTGAGGAAAGAGTAACCAACGTTATGTTTATAAATTTAATTGTACCTTTTCAATTGTTGGTCTAAAATATATTGAATAGGTTCCGCTTTTTGATAGATCGAAATTCTATCCGCCAGACTATGAATATAGCGACTATACTTGTGTCTGACTCCTTTCGGCGTTTATATGTTTCGAGTCTAGGTCTCCCTCCCAGGTTCAAACTAGTATTCAATCCGACAAATAGCCTTACTCAGATCGGACTTTTCAGCTTCCGCTGTCATTGCGGTTTGGGCAAGGGATGGTCACTCTACACACTTATTTTGTACCAAATTTTTCTCAGTGTGTCTCATGTGAGCCGCAACTGTCCCAGCAGTGCCGAGATTTCCAGTCATCGTATACTGACTTTTGTTTGCTTGTGAATAACGGCATGCTTGGCAACCCGTTCAATTTGACAGTTCGAATGTATTGTTTTGAAGGAAGAACACAATAAGCAGTGGAATCCGAACCACGGCGATGATCCAGAGGCTGGACAAACTGACCCGATTGGAGGATCTCCTCGAAAAGGTGATGGAGTTCCAAAGCAAAGACAGCATCGAAACGCATCTGATGGCATTCGGAAATTACAGCCGCCGGGGAAAGCTGCTGCGAATGTTGAAATCGATGGAACTTTTTTGGAGATCAAAATCGGCTGCGGAGATTAGAAGGTTAACTGGCATTGAACCGGTAAAGACTGACTTCGTCAGTGGTTGCATGTGCCCGTGGAGCGACAGTCGGCGAAACTAAACTAAAACTAGCATATCC